TTATAAATACATTTCCAATATGGCCTCAGGATTTCCTTTCATTTCCATAGATCCTCAGTGACACGCATTGAGAAGGTCTCAGAAATCTGGGGCTTTTTAAATGGCTGTGTTAAGATCAGGCACATGTTGCTTGTAGAGTATGGTAAGACTTTGTGATACAGATTCTCAAATGCTTCTGTGGGAGCAAATCCCCAAATGCACATGAACCCTGAGGCACAAGCAGGTAACAGACACACACATAATTTTTCGGAGTGACTGGATAGATGCAGGGTGTTCCCCCCAATGGGCAGGGCATTGGAGTGGTCATAAAGAGGGGTGCTCACCCCCAGTTCCAGAATGGCATAGGGTGTGCATATGCTCAGACTGGGTCTGGCAGGCACAAAGCAGCAGGAGCTGATCAAAAAGTTCAGTCAGCTTTCCAGTCACTTCTTGGCTGGCCAAATCTGCCCCCCAAAAGGCAGCAGCTGGGAAGGATGATAGGGGGGACGTGGGACAATGTCTGGGTCAGTGGGTTGTTTGAGCTTGGAGGAGGGAGAACTATTAGGGACATGTAATGTGGGGTCTTCATCTGTTAGCATCCCCTTGCAGCAGGAGGGGGCGCTACATCAACCTGGCTTTGTCCCACCCTTATGCCACCACACCAAACTCTGCATTGTCAAGTCATGAATCCTCCAGCCCAGGTCCTTGATAGTCTGTCCTCCGTAAGGAGAACAGGGAGGTGGAAATTCTGTGGCAGGATGGCACTAGCAGGTGTCTAACCAGCCCTAGTTCTCCTGGGTTTAGGAGCTGCTTCTCTAAACGTTCCTGGCTGGGGTAGGTAGGGGAACCTAGGCCCGTCCTCTCCACTGGGCTCCATCTCAGGGCCCTTGTTTGGAACAGGCATAGCCAGTCGCTCAGTTGCTTGCTGTTTCCTGAGCTACTTCTTATCTCTAGAGATAATTCCCCAACCCCTGGTCCTCCTCCTCCGTTTTCAGAGTGTTGCTCTCTCTGGAGCTTCTCCCCAGCCTGCTGGAGGGAGCCTCTCTCTGCAATCCTTCTGCCTTTCTCCTCAGTGCTTTCTCCTGGTGCTTCCTTGCCTAACTAACTGCCTCCCAGTTACTCAGTGAATCAACTACACCCAGGTGAACCTGAGCTGCCCCATACCCCCTTGTGGAGTCTGTCAGATCTAGGCTGGGCCCCCAACCCCTTCAGGGGGCCAGCTCCCCACTGACAGGACACCTCTAGACTCAGCCAATATGCTGCATCCCTCTGCCTGTGCCATGGCACAGCCGGCACTGATTGCTCTAGTGTGAGGAGCAGCAATGGGCACCCATGAGTGACGACCAGCTGGGTTAATGGGGGTAAGTCAAAGTGACAGCTGGGGTGGGGCATTGGTCCCTGCCTGTGCAGCCCCAGTGATGCACAGTTATTGAAAATTGGCCTCTCAGGAGACCCCGGCGGGTTCAGTGTACGGGACTCAGGAGAGGAATCTGGTGTGTTATAGCCCGGGATCAGGGCACCTACTGCTGTGCTGGAGTAGCCCCTACAATGGTTCATTCCAACAAGTGGCTCAGTCCCACTCACAGCTCCACACGGTCATCCCAAGGGGCTTTGCCAGAGAACAGCAATGGAGGGAGGGCTGGAGGCTCCCCTGCTCTGCTCACACAACACCCCCGTAGCTCTCAGGCTCTGGCACCTACCATGGCATGGAGGTAGTGGGTGTAGGGCACAGACACAGGAGGCAGTGTAAGAGCTGGCGCACTGATGCCACTTGTCAACCTCTCTGTGCTGCGCATGCATCCCAATCTGAGCATGCTCAGACCTTCCGTGAGCTCTTCCCAGACCTCACGTCAACCGGCTTCTGCGCGCCCACAAAGCCTTTGAGAACAGCCATTGTCCTAGGGGTGTAAAAAGCTACCAGCACTGGTGCAGAGAATCATGCAGCTACAGGCACTGTTGCTTCCTCCGTAGCCTGGCTGTACAAGTACAGTGAAAAAGTCTTACAAAATCAATGATCGGAAAGAGGCTCTGCTGATTGGATTTAAACCCCACACAAGAAATAACTGAATGACTTTAGCTTTTCTTACGTGT